AATTGAATCAAATATAATATATTGTTTATTAAATAATTTAAATAATTTGATCAAATTAGGTTAGATTAGGTCAGGTTGGATTGGGTCAGGTCAGGTTAAATCAAAATTTAAATCAGATTAGATTTTTGTTTGACCTGACCAGGTCCTCTCAATTTAGGAAACTTGATTGACCTAATCTGAACTGACCTGTTTAGAGCTCTATTAAAAGTAGATTATATAACTGGAATATTGAATAAAAAAATAGAGATTAGTTATATTATTTATAATTTTATGAAATAAAATGCTAAAATTTTTAAAGAAGCTAGATATGATAGAATTCTATGGTAATTTAGCAGAAAATTTTAAGATTTTTAATTGTTAGTTAATTATATTTATAAGAAAATATAAACTATTACTATGATAATATATGAGAATATCCTAAACTTTTCAGTGAAACTCAAAAAAGTTACATCAATTTGTTAATCATCTTAGTTTAATAAATCATATGAATTAAAAAATATGTTATACATAAATAGAAGCTTATATAATTTAACATAACCAGTAATTTTTACTATAAATCTAAAAAATGATAAAACTATATATATTTATATAATAGTTAATGAAAGAATAGGTTTATTATTATTTTGATTTATATTGCAAGTAAGGTATTTTTTTAAAAATTAGTTTGTTATGCAATTATTTTAATAATTTTATAATTATAATAATAATAGAGAAATTTTTTAATGTTTTTAGATAATACTAAATTATCTCTAATTGTATCTTTAAAGAAAAATAAATATCACACAAAGAATAAACTTTTAATGAGATTTATAATTTAATTTTAAAAGAATAGCAGAATGAATTTAGGCCTATTATTAAAATATGTGGATTATTTAAATGATATAAAATTAAAAAATTGTATTTAAAGAGATCTAGTAATGTTAGTTTATAATTTATTCAAAAGCTACTTAGGAAAATTAGTAAAAAGAAAATTATACGAGAGTGAAATAGATCAAACAGTGATTTTAGATAATTTTACTAGTATTTACTAATCTCTCGACATCTTAATTAATAAACTATTAAAAGATAATCTTCATAAAGAATAGTATATTTAGATAGCAGATGATGGTAATAAAATAATGATTACAAAAAAACTTTGTTATACTAAATTAAGTGATAATATTTATAAGTTATGTATTCATAAAAAATAATTATATTAATAGTAATGATAATATTAATAATTAAGTAATAAAACTGTTGAGAAGTTTAAAGTGATTAATATAATATTTGAATTGACCGGCAAAAGGTATATAATTATGTGTATAATAGACTAATACAGTAAATAAAATTGTATCTTATAAAGAAAATAATAATGTTAATGATAAAATTATATGATATAAATCACAAGATGATCATAATTTATTATGAATTTTTTTTTATTTTTTTTATTGTATATTATTTTGTAATTCAGATAACTATATATAATTTATTAATAAATAAAGTTTTGAAATAAAGTTTAAAATCACATTTAATAGTATTAATATATTATTGTAATTTTATTTTATACATTACATTTACAATTTTTAATGAGTTATTTATTTTTAAATGTAAAGCAATTTTAAGATTGCTTATTTTGAAAGAATATGCATGTTTAAAATGATAGATGAAAACTGCAAATTTTAAATTGATTCACAAAATCCGGAGATAATTGAGTGCTTTTTGCTGAAATTTATAATAACTTATGTCTGAAAACAATGTTTCGCTAAACACTAAAGTTGCAGGAATGAATAGATATATTTATGCAAGTTGAGATAAAACATCCCACCACTTTAAAGGATGTAATATCAATTTGCTGAAGGTTTAAATATTCGAATGAAAAATTCATTAGAATCGCACAAAACAAATAATATAATTATAATATAACGAAAGAATATGCACAAATTTAAAAATTTAAATTTTATTATATAAAAAAAAATTTAATCTTTGATCGCATCATTTATTTTTGAATAAAATATCTAATATAGTAAAAATCAAAATTCTGGTCAAATAATAAGATAAATTAACTTAACAGTTATATATTTAATCCGTAAACTTCCGGTTTCATTAAATTCGAATTTTCGCAATCAACCGGGTTTATTAAATCCGGTTTTCGAATCTGAAAAAACAGACCCGGTTTTATGTTGCAACCGGTTTAAACCGAATTTAAATCGAATTATACCAAACCGGTTCCAACCTCTATTTTGAACTATTAAAATATTAATATTAATATTACAAAATAAATAAATAAATAAATAAATAGAAAAAAAGAGTATTTGAAATAAATTAATAATATTAAGCTTTAATCTAGGAAGAAATATTATATAAAATAATTAATACTAAAAATACTAAGATAAATAATATGATTATTAATATTCTAATTTTAATTTTAATATATTAGACAACTTTATTAGATTGACTTTATTATTGTATCATTGTAAATAATTAATATACTTTTAATAATTGAACATAAATTTTCTAACACTCTTAAATTTTTAATTTATTAGCAATTAATGAAAATTACGACTTTAATATGACCATATAATGTCAAAATTTTAATAATTTTGCTTTAGCGAAGTTTAACTAGTATACGTGGAAATTTATTTTTCATGAAAAAAAAGAAATCTTATAGGCTCAAAATTTTTAGTTACATGTTACCGGGAAAACGATGACGAATTGAGAACTTACAAGGGAACGTTGTACATTGAGTATGACACCATTATATTCTTAAAATAATAATTTGCCACTTGCACTGCCACACATGCAGTATCCTGCCTTGTAAATAAATATAGATCAACCGCAGGAAAAAAAAGATTGAGATCTGCAAATCAATTTTCTAAGTTTGTAGTGGAATGAAGCATTTAGGGATGGATATGGCCAAGGATTATGTATGATGAAATGTTTAACGTTAAGAATTGATCAAGACAAAAAGAAATTCAATTCAGAACCTTGCGATTTGTCCGGAAACCTTCGGATTGAAATTACACGACATAAGTTAAACAATGTGTCATTGGCTTAAATAAACTTTTAGTGAATTCATTACGTCTGACTATTAAATTCTTGTAGTAAATTATATTAGTAATTCTAATTATATATTGGATCCTGCATTTATACGGCGCTTATTGGTTGTTGTCATTGTAGTTATCACGAGGCATATATTTAATATTTGAAATAAAAGCACCTCTGCACCACATCATTTGACGTAAAATAATGTCTTCATATCGTGCTTCAAATTCAATTATCAAGTCTAAAGTCAATTCCAAATACTAATTTATTTCTTTCTTTATTATCCTGTATTTAATTTGGTATTGGATTTTCAACAAATATTTTATTTATTGGATCTCCGACTAAAATACGAAGAGATTCGATAATTACGATAATTACTTAAATGAGCCAATAAGCATTCCTCGCCGCAGTGTGGCTGAACCCCATGATATTTTTTTCAGGTAGTACATCGCGCTCGCGTCAATAATATTTTAATCTAATGGCGCGTGATTGATACTATTTGAATTGAAAATAGGGAAGAAGCATTATCCGAAGGATTACCTAAGGTCATCCGATACTTTTTAGGGAAAATCTAATTTAAAATTTAATAAGATTATAAACAATAATTACATGTTCTAACTTCTCGATTAAAATATAAATTGGTCTTGTTTTGCTCTTAGCCCTTCACTGGCAAATTTAGTCCTTCAAAATTTTATTACATTGTCCGTCATCATTTATTTAATTTTTGAATCATGGAATATCATTTCATTAAGCCAGTAACGACCTATATTTCAGATAGTAGCACAAAGAAGCGAGTGCCAAATGCGTTCATGAAATACCGTGCAGAAATGATGAATCATAGACCAGATAATATAACGATGCAGGAATACAGCAAACAAGTAGCTGAATTGTGGAATAATATGCCAGAAGAAGAAAAAGATAAACGGAAAAGAGATTATCAGATTAGTCGAGATCAAACATTTCCACACGCAATGAACGAAAACGTTGACAAAAATGCCGTTGCTGTTCAAATGGGAGAAAGTTCGAGCTCTTATCCTTCGATGACAGTTGATCAATTCAATCAGTATCAAACATACGCAATGAACGAAAACGTTGACAAAAATGCCGTTGCTGTTCAAATGGGAGAAAGTTCGAGCTCTTATCCTTCGATGACAGTTGATCAATTCAGTCAGTATCAAACATACGCAATGAACGAATACTTGAACGCATATGCCATTGCTGAACAAATGAGAGAAATTCCTTCGTTTTATCAAATATTACCAAACACAGAGGACGAACTTACCTTTGATGATCAAACTGACGAAGCTTCGCACTCTTATCCTAAATGGCAAAGAAATCTATTACAAGAAGCAGTCATTACCAATCAATCCGAAGAAGGTTCGAGTAAGATCCATCCCAGTTCTATATACTATAAGTACTACACTTTGTAATATTAATATTTTAATTAACAATTTTCATGATGAAAAATTTGACTTTGAATCAACTTTTATTTTATTTTTATTTGTTCATTTTCCTCTTAAAAGAACAATATTTTTTTAAATTGGTTTTTGACTTAATTTTATTTTTTCACATTTATATGTTGGGAATTTCTTAATTTTCTCTTTTTTCACAGTTAATCGTTTTCTTATTTTTATGCATAATATTTTTCTTGTAATACGTAAAAAAATTTATTTAGTTTTAAATCGGTATTACCGGTGGGTACGTGATCATTTTGTATCACTCACTATCAGAAAGGAATTAATTTTCGATTTATTTATATTGTCAAAATCCGTTTTATATTTATTTTCGTCTTCCCGATTTTAATTTATTCACGTTCTTTTCATGTTTTGCGTTTTTATTCATTTTTACAATATGTAAATTGGCAAATTTGAATTTAATAAATTTATGGCAATTATAAGATTTTTAAGATTTTTAAATAAAAGTTGGAACGTTTAAATAAACTTATGATGTTATCAAGTGAAATAAATATATTTGATGAAAGAATCAAGGAACCAGCAATTATGAAAATTTAATAAGACGGTTGAATAGTAAATATGGTAGTTGATGACTAAAAAAGGTCATTGTTCTCATGTGATGATCACAGTTTTAACTTTTTTTTGCTATCAAATTTTTTCTTAGCTTAAAAAGTAAAAAATATTTTAATCAAAATTATGTCAAATTTTTGTACGATGCAAGCTTGCAAATCCTCTCGTGTTAACATTGAAACTATGTAAATATAAAGTATGTCCAGCTATTTATCCGCTTTGCTTAATATCCATGACATGACGTGTGTGTCTCAAATAATGTGTTACAAATAGGGTTTCAAAATTAATATGAATTATTCGAAGAAGAATTTGTAATACGAAGCGCCGCATCTAATGTTAGACGATCTTGTTTTTGGTGATATTATGGAGATAAATATACAATAATATATTTTAAGTTAATAAGTAAACAATAATTTTATTAATTTTTCTGATTCTGGCGGTTAATATTGAATATCATATCATTTAGTATTAATAAAAATGCTAATTGATATTGAATCTCTTTTCACAAAATTTTATATAAACCTTATTTTTTAATATGCCCAAAATTTGATTATTCCGCCGTCTCTTTCTAATATATTTGATGCTATTGTAAGAGAATTTAATGAAATAACTTTATTTATGTTATTAATAATTATAGTTAAATTCAACTATTGAGAATATGATTATTCGCTGAGAAATCGGCTTGTTAGTTTTTGTATGTTTCTACTTATTTATAAATTGTAAGAGATCATATAATGGTTGTAATCTTATATCATTTATGATTTCTTGTTGCTGGACACAATTTTTGCAGTAATAATAAATATAAAATATAGAGATCTTGTCATATTCGACTTTCCGAATTGCAACAGAATAACTTAAAAATCAAAAAACAAATATTTCACTTATGCAATAGATGACCAAAATGTTACTAAAAAAATGCTAGGTTACATATGAAATATTAACTTAACTATCTAAATCTTGACCGTACAATACTTTTTGTCCTCCCGGTATATGTTATTATATATTGCGATATATTATATTCGGATATTACGCAAAAAACGTATCATAATTTCCAATGGAAATTAACTTCCAAATAAATAATAATAATTTATATATAACGAGTTATAGACAATTATTTCGGGTCCCTTTAAAAAAAAAAAAAAAAAAATTCTTGATATATATCGAACGTTTATCTTTATTTATAAACGAATGTAACGAATTGATAGTTAATAGATTGTCAGTCAAGGAAATTCTTCTATTACTGCCAAAAATCTTATTCTTCTATCAATGAGAATTTGAGGCATGTGTGATTAACGAACTATATGGCAATTATTACTTAGCCACGCAAATTAGTATTTTCGGTCGGTTCACAAAGCATTAAAATTTAAAATTGACCCGGGGACCCGGGATTGTTTATGTACTGTAAATCGTAACGATTGGCTTTTAAGGAGTAATTAATCGGATGGTGAGCATTTTCCGTATTGTGAAAACTTTGCTGAAGTAAAAAGTGAGACAAAGAAAAAAAAATATAAAATCAGTAACCAAAGAAATGACGAGAACCAAACGTCAATAAATTGTTATTGATACATTGGATATAATTCCACCCGAAAATCATATTTTCGCTCATAAATCGCCTTGATTAGCCAATTTCTTAGGATACTATATCGTTAGGATACCATATTGTTAGGATGCCAAGTTGTTCTAATTAAAATTTAATATATGGGGGCGGTCAATAGAAAGGGGGGAAATCTACAAATCTTGAGTAATTTTAGTTATTAAGCTAGTTTTGTTCGCATGACCATGATCAGCAGAGTGAACCAATAAAAAAATTTTTATTTCCCCCCTTTTCTACTGACCTTGAAATTTTAGTAAGTTCTTTGAGTTCCTTTAGAACAGTTGCATTCCTTTATTTATATACACCTTAATTCCTTCCCTTTTTTCCTTGCGATATTATCACTTTCATAATTTTAACATAATTCTTATGCTGTAACTTCGTTAATTTTGTTGTTTTAATATTTTTTATTTTTCCGATTATTAATTATCATTAAGCATTTATTTGAGTTAATTGCTAAAGAGTAGAACGCCGATGTTAAGGCAACACTTATTAATTAATTTTTATTGAATAACACTAATAAAACACATTCTGCATAAACGAAAGAATTGAATACAACAGTATTAATAAAATTATGTTTCTAAGTCACGTGATTAAAATTTTACTTATAAAACTTTTTTTTTCTTAAAATTTAAAAGGGTGACCGCGTGAAACCTACAGAAGAGAACCAATCATTAGTAAAATACAGACTATTCAGCAACATGGGTTCGAGCATTAGAAAAATTTCGATCAGATGTAAAATATCAAAGTCTCATAGTAAAAATAACTACAAAAGAGGAGTTAGAAAACCAATTATGATTCAATAAAGAAGCAGGATAGAACTAAGTATCATTCTTCCTCAGTTAGCAATTGAATATTCCAATATTATATTAAATATCAACATCAAATATCAAAGCAACCTACAACAATGCAAAGTCATTTATTAATGGTAAATCACATATTATATATATTTTTATTATTATATTATTAATTATTTTTTTTAGAAAAAGTACAATAATTGATACCGCAACAATTGCTTCTAATAATATGATAAAGAAGATCCATTTCCAATAAATAAAATTAAAAATCAAAAATCAATCGCAAGGATTAGAAGAATTATTTCAGAAATGACAGCCGATAAAGTTTTTATTAATTCAATAATTATTTTATTAATACTAACGCTAATAATTAACAAATTTATAAAATAATTATTATGTATTTTTTTTTTTTATTACTAGCTTAAAATATATAGCTTATTTTTCAATATATAGAACTTAATTTGTATAATATCACAAAAATATATTAAAATCCAACATCAAACGATAATGTATAAAAATCATATTAGAAAATTTGTCTTATTACTTATTTTTTCTTGTAGTTCCTTATATTTATATCTTAGATGATGTTTCTATACTTTAATTTTAATAAAAATTCATATCTTATATATCTAACACGAAACGAACGATACGATCGATGAAAAATTGTACGAATAAGGAAAAAAAAAATTGATTTTCGATAAATCAAAAAAAAAAAATTATTTACGAATCGAATTTTATAAGATGAATTAACGAAAATCATTATTGAAAAAGAAAGTCTTCCGGAGGTCCTTCCGTGAGAAAGCAATCACCTTTCATAATGGAAGTTAAATCGTTATTAACAGAATTTGGAATGGCAGCTGCGGTCTGAATTTCGCTGATAACCTCGATAGGGGAATTAGAGACTGCGATTTGCAATTTTTTATCACGACGTTCGTGATACTTCCTTTGCCATCTTATTTTTTGATCTTCTGATAGTTCCTTCCATTTTTCCGACACCGTTTTGCTGAATTCAGACATACTTATGTTATAAGGTCTATATCTCATCATATCTTTTCGATATAAGAAAAACATATTTGGATGCCTTTTCTCCTTGACTGGTTTACCAGGTTGGTAAGTATAGAAGGTACAATCGCTCATAATGCTTGAGTTCGTAAAAGGGCTTTAAAATTAACGTATCGATAAAATTAAATGAATTTAGGAAAGACGATAGAATTATTTATTTATTTATTTATTTATTTTTTTTTTTTTGCGGACGAACGAGGAAGAGTAATAATACACGCACGCAATTATTTATATAAAATTTACGATATTCATTACATATAATCAAGTACACAATTGACGTACAAAGTATTAACTTCTAAGCGATCATATTATTACAAAATTATATCATAAGCCAAGAAAGCATATATTAATCTGATTGGAATAACAAAGATCCGAATCCAATTATTTTATTAGAAATTTGGTAAACAAAAAAAAAAAAATATTTAACCAATCGTGTCCTATTTGGATTATAATCAGATTTGATGGCGTCGTAACATCACGAGATTTAAACGATTTCTATTCATCATTTCTTGTTGTATTTACTTGTAATTATAAGTGATGAATTCAATTCATTAAATTTTTTTTGTTTTAAGGAAAAAAGAAAATTTATAGGTGATCGTTCATTCGTTTTTGGGAAAAATGACTACACATCATTGATATCCAAAACATTAATCCAATAAATTTTCGTAATTCAATAGTAAGGCGATCACAACATACTGTACACGAGCCATTCGGAAAATTTTAACAAGCACACAATAGAACGTATTGTTCTTACAAATATTCATACTATAATTTACAGTAAAGATTAAAATCAAATAATTACTCCGCCGCTTTTTAACAAAGTATGAGAATTTACTGGTTATTAAAACAAAAAAAAATTAATAATTTCTCATAGGTAATTTGTCATTTATCGACTAATTGACACTATTAGGGCTTTTGCTTTATTATTAATATGGTTACAAAAAAAAAAATTGTTCATTGACCGGCTAAAACCTCGGACAAATGTGATCCGAAAAAACGTTATACGAAATGAGTCTGACGAATTATGTTTACCTCCGATCACATCAAAAGGATATTATTCCATAAAAGGTCTAAAGGATACGCTACGCCAAATCAATTAACAATGGTGGCACGATTTTTTAAATAATCATTGTATGTTTATCGAAATATCTTGTCATGAGCCACTTGTAGCACTGTAACAAATACTAATTAAATCTTAAAACTTAGTTTATGGACAAACCTAAAACTAAAAATTGCCTAATGAAAGAAAAAAAAGTATCCCCTGCAAATATCTAATAATCACATGTAATAACAAAATCCTTTGAAAAAAGTTAAATATTGAAAATTCTTGAAAATTAAATAATAATTATAAATAAATCGAATTTTATCAACATTATTTTCATTTTAACGTTCTGATATGGGATCAATCAGTAATGACTTGTTCTCGATGAAATTTAAAAATATATTTTGATCATGCACATAATATTATTTTTATTTATTTTTATTTATACATAAATGATTATGGGACCTTTGCAATAGAAACTGCAATAGATAAGGAAAACGGCTGGAAAAAATAAAAAATGAGTTAATGCAAAATCCGAACATATTTTGACCAAAAAATCATATTTGGCTTTTTCCGGCAATTTTTCCCCTTTATACCCATATGTTTAATAATCATACAATAAACCTAAATTTCTATCTATGTAATTTTTTTATGTTTCCAATAGGACAGGTTAATAATTTCAAATGTAAATTTAAATTCTAAAATTAAAAAAAAAATCTTCCTTGTACAATCATTCCAGTTCCAGTACATAAAAGGATTTTTATCTGATGGATCATTTTATCATCTTTTTTTTTTTAAATAAATTGTTATTTCAGTGTAATGTTACATTTTCTATATTGTATTTCAATTATAATACTTTATATAATCAAGATAATGATCTTTGTCCGTAAAAAAACCTCATGGAATCTATCGATTTATCTCCTGATTTTCTGCTCATAGTGACAATAAATACAAAATCAATAAAGCGAAGATAGATGCATACTCCATTTTTACAACGCGTGAATTGTTACATTCATATTGTTTGGACAATCCCAAATTCATATTCGAAATTCTCGTTACGCAGGTAATCCTAATGATTAAGATAAATAAATATTCACATAATTTATTATGTGGGACAAATATAAATGTGGTTTTATTTAAGTTTATAAATTCTTTTAAGAAGTTCCCAAGCCCATACATGTCCTTGGTGTTAAAATTTTGTTGTAGAAGAAATTCGAACAAAATCAAATGTACATCATCTCCATAAAAAAATCATATTTGGACGAATTTGGTTTATAATAATTGATTGCATTACGTCATCCAAAAAAAAAAAGAAAGTAAAATGTCTAAGACAGTATTACAATAAAAAAAAAAAAATAAATGAAGTCAGAGCTTTGCCTTTTTGAGGAAACTAACTTCTATAAAAGTGATATATTATTTAAACAATTGAGCATGTAATATTTATTTAAAATTCGGGTCCTTTCCTATTTGATATATCATTAGATACTGTTTATCATCTCATCAATTTTTTACGATATGAATAATGTATTTGGTTCCTCTTTAGGCTTCACTTCTGATGTTTCGTCGTCTATGCTCTAAAACAGCAATCTGTAGTACAACTCATTAATAATCATTATTTAAGGATTAAATAATCATAATAGTATAAATAGTTGGATGCACATTTTAAGTAGAGTTAATTTAAAGAAATAAGTAGAAATTCTTAAGTTTGAACAATCAATAAACAAAGTATTGTTTTTCTAAAAGGATTCGTATTAAAGAACAAATTAATGAGGCTAACTGATTGGTTTAACCGTTAGTAACCAGTTCCATAAATATAGTAATAAAGATTAAGGAGAACAGCTGTAATCCATAAAAGTCATGTACCACGTTTATTTTTTTTAGATGATGTTAAATGAACTCATTTTCGTATATTATCCATCTCTTTTTCATCATTTTGACCGTTATTTTGTAATTAAAGTTTTATATGGATCGAAACTGATTTAATGTAAATTGTTTACAGGTCACACGCCGCAGGGACATAGATAATGATCTGAAACACGCGCTTACACGCTCATATCTTTGTATTTGTAATTGGAATTTTGCGCGCAATACCATCATCATATGCAAACAGATATTGTTTTTGAAACGTTAGACAAGTTCTTTATTCACATATACATAGCTAGCTAGCCTGTGTTCATAATTTAAGGATTGATTAAAAATACAACAATAATCATAAATTTGGAAATTTTGCAAATCATATATATAGTACATTGTGAATATTCAATCTATCGCGTTTACATAGTTAAAAATAGAAGTTGAAAGTACAAAATAAAATATGAAACTTGAAAAGAATAATAGCAAAATTAAAAAACGAAATATTATTATATGTCCTTTGAACGGGGAATTTAATAAGTTGAATCATACAATTTATTTTTCTTCAACGAAAATATTAGTCAAGGTATTTTCTTCAAAACAAATAGTATTCCATGTATAAAGATTCATAACTTGAGGCTCCTCCTCCTTGGTTGGTATCGACGTCGTCGATGAACATGTTTAAATTTTGATCTCTTTTGATCTGATATTTCTTTTGTAATTCAGCCTTTTCCCTTTCAGATAAGTTTTTCCATTTTGCTGAAATTTGTTTACTGAATTCGGTCATGGTTATATTGTTTGGTCTATACTTCAACATATCTGTACGATATAAAATGAACATGTTTGGTTTTCTTTTCTTTGAAGTTTCATCCTTTCTAACCAACGTCTTTGATGTTTCAGGCGCAAAAAAATACAAGTTTATATAATTTTCGCTCATGTTATAACGAATAAGTAATTTATGCGAGGAAAAAGATTTGAAAAGTTGGAAAAACTCATGATCATGTCAATTTATTATATCTTTTTTTTTTTTTTTTTTTTTTTTTTTTTTGAGGGCTCATTCATAAATAAAAAAAAAATAATGAATCAATCAAAATTAAAAATTCAACAGCGTGTTTCGAAACGAATGTAAATTTAACTTTCTAAATATAAATTTAACGTACTATTAAATATTTGTACATATGAAGTGTATTTTTTAAGTATGATAAGATTCGGCAAACCTATTTACGATCATGAAGGATACTATAAACGTTTATATGAAATCACAAAAAAATTTTAAATATATACTTTCAATTTGTATTTTGAATCTCGCACGGATATTAACGCTCGGGATAAAATTTAGGATGATCTTTGTATCATGATCACATAAATTTAGCAAACAATAGAAATACTGGGGTACATACACAATTGCTAGCGGAGGTAACCCCATGTATGATGCATGGCATGTAATCCATGAAATTTTATCAAAAATCTGTAACCTTTTCTAGAAAGTAAGCAGTTGTTCCATAAAATAAAGTACCATATAAAGATAGGAGAAAAACGTATTTCATTCAATCTACAGTAGTGTAAGTCTCGGACTTTTTTTTTTCTATTTAAATTGAACATCAATCTCTTGACAAAAAAAAATCTCAATCTGAAGCATTGTTTATTTAACGTAACACAAATGTGGTAATATAAAATATTTATTGTTCTATAAATAGTACTAATTTAATACACAAAAATAAATGTCAAGCAAGCTGTCGTCATCGTCGTAATAGTAGTTGTTTTGTTTAATGTTATAATTAGTTAAGTCAAATTCCACAAGTTGTTGATCTTTTTATTCCTATTTAGTCTTAGACTAATTTTCGTCATTTTGAAAAATTATCAATAAAAGCAAAGTTACTGTGAAGTATTGAAACGCAACATATTTAATTCGAAGAAGTAGTTCTAATGTATTGGAAATGGTTAATGCTGCTGTATTTTTCAATTCGACAAGCTCAACTGTAAGAAACTTAAGAATGTTTAAAGATAAGGAGTATTTTTTTTTAATATGAATTTCATCTTAATTGGCTGCGGTCGCTTATTTACACAGATTTATTTTCATTGATGTTTTGTCGAAATTTTTTGATTCTTAGTGGGCATGAGATTTGAGTAAATGATAAACAAACTCAAAATTTACATCACATTACTTAATTTATTTATGATATATAATTATCTAAGATATTCAAATTTATCATTAGGTATCAAGATATTCTACAGTATTGTGCATTAATTTTGGCTGAAGACATATCTTTGATCAATATTCCTTTATTTATTATGAAAGAACTATAATTAAAAATCCTCTTTCTAGTCTATCTCAATGGCATTTTTACACTTATTCAAACAATGATCCTTATACACAGATATTTCAAGAACCAGGTTTTTTTATTGAATAGATTAAATGAACCTTCTTAGTTAAAATATAACATTCTTTGTTAATGTGTTTTAATTTAATTAATGCTATAGTTTATTCAAATATAATGAAATAAAATTTGGTTCAGAAAAATTCTTTTAAATTATTATTACTAGTTTCTTAATTTTTATCATATGCTTAGACTTCTTATTCAAACACTATTATATTATTAACACATTCATCCTCTTCTTATTGGATTATTTTTTAGATAAAAATAATACTCATTTCCTAAATTGAAATTAAATAATTGCTACAATAATTTCAAAGCTAATTATAATGTTCCTATTTTTTAAACAGTAATAATAATAGATAGTTAAATAGAAAATAGATTAAAATATTTTAATAAGTTTACCCTTTTATCTTATAGTTTATATATTATTTAGATAATAATAATAAAAATTGAATATTTTTTATTTTTAATATTATAATTAATCAGTTTATTATTGAAAATATTGCTAAAAAATTAAAATATATAATATTTCTATATTTTATTTTTTTATATTTAATTAGATAATAACTGATTTTTACATTTAATATTTAAATAATAAACTTAATACAAATTGTATAACTAAGATTTAATAATCCAATTTAAATATATAAAAGCATATTCTTATAAAATTATACAAGTGTATAATATAAATTACTCCATATATTTTATATGATATTCAGATATTATAAATATAACATTATAAAAATATTTTACAAAAAAATTAAAAAATTTTAATTTTAAATTTATATTAAAAATTTTATTATAAAAATATTATTTGTTAAATAAATAATTTTTTTAAAATATTTAAAATTAAATATTTTTAAATTAATTAATAATATTTTAAAATCAAATTTTATTTAGTTATATTATTAAAAACTTTATAATATATTATAATTATAAAAAATAAAATTATTTAAAATAATAAATTTGTAATAAATACTAATATTTTAATTAAAAATTAAAATTACAAGTTATTTTATAAAATTTTATATTATAATTAATTGAAGATAATACTAAATTTGAATAAAATTCTTATTGTTTAAAAAATAATTTATATATAAAAATAAAAATTTTAATTAAAAAATTTACCTCTAATTCAGCTAAACTACTCGAATGCTAAACAATTTTATTTTTTTAACTTATTTTTTAAATAGATAAACTTATATTAAATTTATTTATTATATTTTTATAATTAAATTATTAAAAAATATAATTTATAATTGAAATTATTTTTAATAATTTAAATAAATAAAATAAAATAATAATTAATTATAATTAATTAAATAATACTTAATATATAATTAATAAATTGATTTTTTAAAAAAAAATTATATAAAATTATATAAATTATAATTGCATTTATAAGTTAAGTATTAAATTTATTTAATTTTTATTTACAAATAGTTAAAATTTATTTATTAATTAATATAAAATATAAATTAAAACATTTTTAAGATTAATTAATTATTTACAAATAAGTAATAAATAAATTTAATTTAAAAAATAAAATTTATTTTAACAAAGTTAAAATAAAATAATTTTATTTAATATATTAATTATAATTATATTATAATTAAAATGCTAATTATAAAGATTATTTATAAATCTATTTATAAATTTATTTTAAAAAATATTTTAGTTTTATTTAATATTTAAGTTAATATATAGGTATTTTATTATAAAAAGAAAATTACAAAAAAAAAATTTTTTAAATTATGAAGTTTTTATTATTAAAATAATTATACAAATTAAAAAAATAAGTTAAAAACATTAATTTTATATAATATAATAATTAGTAAATTATAATTTAAATAATATAAAATTATTAAATAAAATAAATTAATTATATTTATTTTTTTATATTAATATTAACTTATATTAATTAAATATATTTATAATTTAAAAATTAAAATTATTTTTAAAATTAATATAAATTAAATAGAAAAAATATAAGGATTATATGATAAAATCTTTTTATAAATAACTTTATATATATTTAAATTTTATTTATAAATATACATTATATAGGTTGATTGCTAGGAAAATCAGGTTCCAGAAATTTTTTAGCAAAATTGAGATTTTTATTGCATTTTAGTTTTTGATA